CCAGCCTTCTGAACTCGCCTTTAAGAAAACAATGTAACCAACCTTACTATGCAATAGTATACAATACTTCTTATGCAATCCCCTTTTACAACCTAAACTAAATGCATAGTTTTAATCTTAAACTCTGATTCTTCCATGACCCTGACCTAGAAATATGTGTGTGCCTGTGTGTGCCGTGGTAATCATTTGCTGAAAGCAGCCAATAGGTTGAAAGCAACCTTAAACCAAGTAAAAAACTCATAACTGTTGGAAGCAACATGTGGATATAGGTTTAGAACAGTTGTTTGTGGGTCAGTAAAGTGACTTCTGCCCTTCTAAAATTCTTTTAAAAAATAATTCCTAATTCCTTTACCATACTGTGTTTTCTGTGCTGTCCAATAATCACGAAGCCCTTTGTTAGGGACAGACCACAAGGACAGACAGACATCTGATGCACACAAGAGACAGACTACAGACGACAAACTTCAGAAAGACGAAGAACATGAGGGGAAGTGGGGATTTCAATACTGGGCTTGCTCTTAGTCTAAACTATCCCAAGAGGACGTGTCTATTCTTCAGTGAGTTACCAGCAGAGCCTCTGTGTCTGAGCAAGGAAAACTAACGTCAGTGAAACCGGGCTCATTTCAGAGACATTAAAATGCAGGAAAGTGTGCATCCTAAAACAGATTAAATATAGTAATTTACTCCCTTTCTAGTCTGAGCCACCAACAAAGACTTCTGGTGACCTCTCTTATCCGAAAGAAGCCACATCTAAGCAGCTGGTCTCAACTGGCCTGAGCACTGATGGGAAACCTGAAACGGGCCATCCCTAGAATTAGGCAGGTTGGCTCTTTCAGCTCTTGGTCACCCTTTCTGCCCAGAGGGTAGTGATGTGGACCTTTGATCTCAGCACTCAGAGGCAAAGGCAGGTAGATCTAAGTTCCGGCCAGCCAGATCTACAAAGTGAGACGGTCTTGAACAAACGAACAGAGAAAGAGTCTCCCAACTGCCTACAAGGGAAAAGGGCAGTGGGGACCCTGAGAGAACACGTCTTCAGCTGTCCCAGTGCCTCTGAGGCAGGTCCTCTTCCGAAGCAGGTGCTGGGATCTCCACAGAGCCTGCAGTCACACACCTGAGCCCCTGACGGGAAGACAGGCTCCTTCCGGGCGCCCTCTTCTGCACTGAGGGAAGAGCTGAGCAAAGCCTTTCCTAAGTAAGAGTGAGAGTGAGGTGGTCATACCTGGTCTCTCGGTGTAAGCTGCTGCTCCAGAGCCCTGTGAAAACATGAAAACGGCTCCTTTAAGTACGCACAGTCTAGGAAGAGGAAGCGCTACTCAAAGCATGGGTTTTCGGCTTGCGGGGTTTGGGGAGGAAATGTTTTGGTTGTTTGTGTGAACCAGAATGAGCCAAAGCTCTCAGACGGGCTCCAATTTCCAAAGTCTTGTGGGGCTTCCCTAGCCAGAAAAGAAACCATGAGGACGTGAGCCTCCCCAGCTGCACCTCCTCACATCTGTAAGGACCCATTTCCGTTTGCCTATTTCATGACACAAACATGAAGTGGGAATTTTCCAGATCTACTCAACAAGGTGCCTTTCTCTACTCCGGTTTTCATTCCTTGCTCACTCCTTACCCATCCTGAAAAAAGAACTGCTGATTTGAGTGAAGAAAATCCACACGACATGGAGGTGACCGAGGCTGGGTCTCAGACAACCAGGCTGGCCTCAAACTGACTCTGCACTACCATGCCCAATTTATGTGATCCTGGAAATTGAACCCAGGGCCATATGCATGTAGACAAGCCCTTTACCATCTGTGTTACATTCCTAGTCCTGGAGATGACATTAAAAAAAAAAAAGACCATCCATCCCCAAGTTGATTCCGCTAATGAGATACGTATATTATTTATTATTTTTTGTTTTGAATTTTGAGACAGCGTTTTATGTAACATGAATTCTAATTTGCCCGATATCCATAATCGGTCTTTTAATAATAATAATAAAAAAAAAACCTGGAGCCAGATATTGGGGTAAATGTTGAGAGATCAGAAACAAAAAGGAACAAGCCACTGCCACATCTTACCTCTAGGACTCCTTAGCCTGAAAAACCTTCCTCAGCCGAAAAGCTTTAGTTCCTGTCTCCTCACTCCTTACATACCTCTCTCCGCCCAGCCATATCATTTCTTTCTTAGTGCTGGGATTAAAGACGTGTGTGCTTCCCACACGTCTTTAATCCCATGAGATCTCAAGTGCTGGGATTAAAGGCATGTGACTGCCAAGTACTGGAATTAAAGCTGTGTGCCACCACTGCCTAACTTGGCTTCTCTCCTAGTCTGAATCAATCTCATGTAATCCAGGGTGGCTTTGAACTCACAGAGATCCAGATAGATCTCTGCCTCCTGAGTACTAGGATTAAAGGTGTGTACCACCACAGGCTGACATCTATGTTTAATCTAGTGGCTTGCTCTGTCCTCTGATCTTCAGGCAAATTTTATTAGGGTACATAATATATCACCACAGTTTTACTCCATAGCACAGGCTGGCCTATGGTGATTCTTCTACCAACTTCCTAAGTACTGGAATCACAGCTATGATTCCAGGTATGCCACCATATTTAACTTATTAGCATACTCTTGATTTTCCATTTCTCACACAATACGAGGACAAAACTTAGAAAAAGTTAATATAATTTTATATGTATGGCTGTTTTGCCCAAATATATGTCTGTGCATCACACGTATGCCATGGAGGCCAAAAGAGGACATCGGATCCCCTGGAACTAGAGTTACAGACAATGAGTCACCATGTGAGTGCTGGGACTTGAACTGGGTTCTCTGGAAGAGCAGCCAGTGTTCTCAACCACTAAGTTATCTCTCTAGGCCCAGGAGAAAGCTGTGTGAGCTTGGGTATACCACATGCATGTAGGAGCCAACAAAGACTAGAAAGAGGGCATCAGATCCCCTGGAACTGGAGTTACAGGCAAGACTGTGTGCCACAGTGTGGGTGCTGGGAACCAAACCTAGGTCCTCTACAAGAGCAATATACACTCTTAACCACTGAGCAATCTGTGCAGCCCCGAGGAGAAGCTTTTGTTGGGCTAGTAAAAACATGAGGATGCTAGGTGTAACTGAAGACCCCAGATTTCTTACTGTTATGCGAAGAACTCTTCATGTCATAATTGAACTTCATGACAAAAAAGGTATTTATGTTTTTACCATGTGGAAGGCCATCCTTCAGGTCCCACGTGGGTCTTTAGCCGTTTATACGGTTTTGTGTTTCCAAGTGTAGTCTGTTGATCCTGGAGATGATGGTCTATTTCTGGGATCAAATACAAAGAATACAATAAGCACTGACCAAAAGGTGAGGGAATTTGTTTGTTTGTTTGTTTGTTTTTTTATGGTTTTTGAGATAGGATCTCATCATGTTACTCTGGCTGCTCTGGAACTTGCTATGTAGATAAGGCTGGCTTCAAACTCAGATATTTACCAGCTTTTGCCTCCTGAATGCTGGTATTAAAGGCTTTTAAAGCTGAGGGGAATCTTGTAAAAATATATGTAACTCAAATTTCTAAATGGTCTTTTATTAAAAATCCCAGAGCCAGTCGGGCGGTGGTGGCGCACGCCTTTAATCTCTGCACTCGGGAGGCAGAGCCAGGCGGATCTCTGTGAGTTCGAGGCCAGCCTGGGCTACAGAGCGAGTTCCAGAAAAGGTGCCAAAGCTACACAGAGAAACCCTGTCTTGGAAAAAAAAAAGTGAGAAGAAGAGGAGGAGGAGGAGGAGGAAGAAGAAGAAAAGAATAAACCATAGGGAAACGTGAAAGAAATTTCTGCTCTTTAGTAGTTTTTCATGTCGATGGTGAGGATGCTCACATCATTTTGCCATTGTCACTGTCTACCACTGAATTCTGGTTCAAGTCCTGACAGAAGTCGGGGAGGGGGTGCTGTAGGAGCTGTAATAGGAAAAACTTTGGGGAGGTGAGACAGGAGTCAGTGCTTGAAGGTGTTGGTGTATTTAGAAAATAGTAACAAAGTGGTGAGACTGGACAAGACATCCAGAGAGCAGCCTCTGAGCTGTGGAGCTCCCCACAGGGTGTTTGAAGACTGAGAAAACTGCCTAAACTAGCATGGGGTGTGTTCTGCTGAATCCGTGATAAACAACTCTGACCTAAGGGTATCTAGATGAAAGATGAAACTCTTCTCATGATTTTAGCCTAGTAGGTAAAAACTAAAGATTATGAACAGACTCATGATTAAAACTTACAGTTGCGGGCTGGAGAGATGGCTCAGAGGTTAAGAACACTAGCTGCTCTTCCAGAGGTCCTGAGTTCAACTCCCAGCACCCATATGGTGGCTCACAGCCATCTACAATGAGATCTGGCTCCCTCTTCTGGCCTGCAGGGATACATCCAAACAGAATACTGTATACATAATAAATAAATCTTAAAAAAAAATAAGTCTCTGGAGTGATTTATAATGTCTTCACAATAGAAAAATCAGAGCACGGTTGGTCATAAACCTTAAGTTGGATACTAACCGACTGTGGGGACAAGCTCCACCTTGCCTCGAGAGGGCACTGTTGTTTTCACAGAAGAAAGACTTGTAAGGTTCCTAGGAGACTGCCGCTGGGCATCTGTTTTAGAACATGCACTTGTCTGTCCAGAAACAAGCAGACAAAAAGCAAAAGCTTCCTTTTTCCTTGTGCTTTCATATAGGCTGCTACCTGGAGGCGTGGCCAGATTTAGGGTCGGTCTGCTCGCCTTAAATGATCCCCAACCAAGAAAACCCTTCACAGCCCGGTGTGATGGCACAACCCTTTAATCCTAGCACTCGGGGAGGCAGAGGCAGGTGGATCTCTGAGTTCACCGCTAGCCTGGTTTACAAAGCCAGTTCCACAACAGCTTAGGGGTGTTACACAAAGCAACCTTGTCTTGAAAAATCAAACAGAAAAAAGAAAATTTCTTGCAAGCACTACCCAGTCAGCTTGGGTTTTACTTGATTGCAAATGTAATCAAATTGACAACCAAAATTAGCTCACACCTCCTACTCCTTCTCCAAGAGTGCCAATCCCTGGTGACTAAGCATTCAAATATATGAACCTAGTAGCCATTAACTTGTATACAAGTTAAACTATGGTGATAAACTTTACAGTTAACACACATAATCCCCGCTGTATTTCTGTTGACACTATAGATTTCACAGACCCTTCTTCTTCCTCTCTCTGACCCATCTCATCTGCTCCCAGGCCTGGGACTGAGGCCTCCAGGACTTCAGACTATAGCTCTCCCAGTCTCAGGTACTTATTGTCCTCCCCTCCCCCCACCTCACCTTAAAATTCTGGTTGAACTCAGCTCTTGAAGGCCCTTGACTTTTGCTTTGTTCACAGGTACCTACTCTTGTGGTCAGGTGCCTGTCTACCTCACTCTCTAGGGACCCTGGCCAGCAAGCAGATCTGTGCTATTGGCTAACTTAAGGACCCAGAGCAGAAAACTCCTCAAGTGTCCATCTAACAGTTCACCAAGCAGGTAAACGCCCTCAACTTCAAAGAAAGCAGGTTAACTATAACATGAATTCCGAATCGCATCTCAGAAAAGCATTAATCATAACAATGGTTTCAAAGAGCACAAACATAGGGAAAACTTTTTACCCCTCTATCCGCTACACCCTCGCTTAGGAGGCCTGGCCCTGGGATCCCCGGTTCCCGCCACTCTTCCGATTTTGCAAAGAAAGCGATCTGCGACCCCGGAGAAATTACTTCCCCCAAGAGCCCACCGCCCGGGGTACAAACTACTCACCGGGGCGACAGCCCTAGGAGACCGCTGAGAAAGAAGGAGGAGGTGGCTCTGCGGGGAACAGGGAGGGACCTCCTGGGAAACGAAACTGAAACTTTGCAGCCCTGGTCTCTGGGGCAGGACGCGCCTCTGCTCTGTCCCGGCTGTGCAAAGTCCCTGAGCCCCCACGCCAGCCAGACGCCGACAGCCATGGCCTCCAGTTCCTGCCCGCCGTCCCCGCTACTCGCGCGGCTGCCGGAGGCCATCCCCTGGGCGCACAGGAAGCTAGAGAAATACTTCCAGAGCCGGGCCTCCGGAGGCGGGGAGTGCTCTGTCCAGCCCGTGGGTCCCAGCGCCCCCGACACCTTCGAGGTGAAGTTCCTAGAGAGGGCAGGTGAGCCGGGACAAGGGAACTGGGCCAGGGTCGGGTGCAAAGGCGGACCCTTGCAGGTTTCCAAACAGACCCGTTCATGCTTCCGAGGAGAGCCCACGAGAGTGTGGCACTGCCTGTGGGGGACGCTGTCGCCCATAGACTTCCTCCATCCCACAGTGGGGGAGAGCGCCTTAGATGTGCCCAGCCTCTGACCTGGTTTGGCTGCTTCCTAGGGATACTTTCCATTTGCTCTCCGAGTTGCCCAATTTCCCAGCAGACCGAATTGAGAGGAGAAAAGAAAGTGTGGGGGTGGGGGTGGGACGGAAACCCAGGGCCCTGTGCTAGCTAGGCAAATGCTCCACCAACCGAGCTACACCCCCAACCACTTTCCTGTTATAAATAATGATTCCATTGACTTGTTTTTTTAAAGATTACAAAATAATATATGATCAGTTTAAAAAGATACACAATGGAAACATTTTCATGTATTCTTTTCTGTGAATCAGCTAATGCATACACATTTAAATCACTCTAAACTTTTGGATTCTTGGTTTGGCAGGGCTTTCCCCACTTAACAATAAATATTATTCTATGTCATTGAGAGATTGAGACCATTACAGAAGCACCGGCTTCCCTTCACCCCTTTGAGAAAGGGTCTCATGTACCCCTTGGCTGGCCTTGAACTCATCATCCCCCCCACCTCTACCATTTAAGTGCTAGGATTATGGGTGTATAGTACCATGGCCAGACTAGAAACATGACTTCTGATAACCAAATGATGCTCTACAGTAAAACTTGAGCTGCCTGCTTTTGAGTTCTGAATAACTTCCTCCCATCAACAACCTGCTATTCCAGAATGCCAGAACCAACTGCTCAGGTCCTCTGTATACTTTTGTTCTTACTGTGAGACAAAACTTTTCCTGGGGGAGACACGACACAACACACACACACACACACACACACACACACACACACACACACACACACACATCTACTCACCTCAGACAGGGAGCCCACCACAGACCAAAGGAAAAATACCACCAAAGCCCAGTTTGGTGAACCAATGATTTTTATTGGGGTTACTTACAGGGGTATGGGTGAGGGGTCACTCACAGGAGCAGAAATGACTCACAGACAGCTGCATCCCCAAAGCCCACCCAGCATGACTGACAGCTCACAAAAGCCGGGAACCTGGAGCACACTGCACAGCCTACAGGTGTTGTACTAGTGTCTCGAGACCCCCAAGCAAGACCATCACAGAGCCAATATCTGATGCAAGTACAAAGGCGGTTATTAAAACAAGCAAGCCGGGGCTTGGTCCGAGTCCAACACTCTGCCTATGCAGGTGAAGGAGGATGGCCCTGAGCTCTCAGAGTGAAGGGTTTTTAAAGGGAAAAATCACAAGCTAGTGGGTACAAGCCTTTGCATTTCAGGGTCATACTTCAGTTAACAGGAACATTTAGCCAAGAGAAGAACTACAGAAGACAAAATACATTTGGAGACTCTCCCAATACTTTTGGAGATGTTGATGGACTAAGCCTTTGTTTTAGCTATTTCTTGGCCAGCAGCCTACCCACCCTGGGGAAGTGGGGGGATGGTGGCCTTGACCAGAGTCTTAGCTAGGTGTTTATGTCTCTGGAACTTGGTTCAGCTTTTTATCTTAGTATTACTAGAAATGAAGTTTTCTTTAAAATGGAGTTTGTCTTGCTCTCTCACAGGCAGCTCCACAGGTTGGAGAGTGTCCTTTCCAAGTGACTCTGGTCCAAACCTCTTCCAGGCAACTTGGTTGGTTTCTGTTTCTTCCAGGCAGATGGTCTGGTGTCGCCAGTGCAGCTTGGCTTCTCTGAGTCTTAACTGCCACTCTGTTCTGCGTGTCTCAGAAGGACTCTCAACAGTCTTTATTGATGACTCCAGCAGGTTAGGGTCTAATGAATCTGGTCAGTTTCAGGGACTTCCTGAAGCTAGTTTAAGTTGTTTACCTTCCTGCTTTAGGAGCTTCCTTCCCCCACAGGATGGAATGTTTCGATCTGAGGACATTTACACAACGGTCCCACATCCTAAGGTTCACTCACCTAAACAATACAATCTAACATGTATTTCCATAGTGTTTACCTTGTGTGAGGGATTAAAGCCATCTAGAGATTGTTAAAAGGTATGGAAGGGCAGTGTGGTGGCATATGCCTTTAATCCCAGCACTCTGGTGGCAGAGACAGGCAGATGTTTGTGAGTTCAAGGCCAGCCAGGTCTATATAGGGAGTTCCAGAACAGCCAGAACTACATAGTGAGACTCTGTCTCAAAAACAAATTAAAAACAAGCAAACAAAAAGCACATGGGAAAATATGGGTAGCTTGTGTGAAAGTCCTAAGTCCATAAGGGATATCTCTGGATTTTGGTGTCCTTGGAAGTTCCTAGGTCAACCCAGAGAGGACCTTGAAGGTCATCTGTAAATTTTCTCTGATTTCTGTGTGAATGTGTGTGTGTTTAATGTCTCCCTGAAGCTAAGGAGAGAGTACTGGAACAGGAAGAGCACCAGATGTCAATCGGTGGCAAACCCGTGCCCATTTTCCTGGAGACCATTAAAAAGCCAGTAGATGACCCAAGCTCCAGACCTCCATCTTTGACACAGTCGTCAACTGAGACACCAAGCTCCAGACCTCCATCTTTGACACAGTCGTCAACTGAGACACCAAGCTCCAGACCTCCATCTTGGACACAGTCGTCAACTGAGACGGCAAGCTCCAGACCTCCATCTTTGACACAGTCAGCTGAGACAGCAAGCTCCAGACCTCCATCTTGGACACAGTCGTCAGCTGAGACACCAAGCTCCAGACCTCCATCTTGGACACAGTCGTCAGCTGAGACACTAAGCTCCAGACGCCCATCTCTGACACCATCTCTGGTTGAAGCTCTGTCTGATGAAGAGCCTGTTTCTAACTCTGTTGACACTATTGTCCAAAAGGTAAGTGTTGGCAGAGGAGCTGGCGCTGTTTCTACAACTGCCTCTGGTCACCACTTCTGCCTTTTTGGGTCCAGCAGCCTTGTGCCGGGGACTAGCTACGAGCTAGGTGCCGTCTAGGCACTGGGCTACAGAAAGAGTGAATAAGCAGGGACAAGATTCCTGTCCTCGTGCAGCCCGTACTGGGGTAAGGAGGTACACAGACCATAAGCAAGTAAATGAACTGAGGATAAGTACTTCAAAGACAGAGACATGCTAGAAAATAAAAAGGGGAGTTTTGCCTTAGAGAGGAACAGGGTGAGGGCGTGCAATGGGAAAAATGGGAGACCTTCTTGCTAAGGTGGCATTTAGCCTGAGGCTTAAATGATGAGAAGGCACCAGCCATAAAAAAAATGCATTCAACAAATAGATAGGGACTGTTTACTATGTGCCAGGCACTGTTGTAGGCGCTGGGGCCAGAGGCACATTGTGAACCGCTCTTAGAGCCCTTCACATCCAGTAAGGGAAACAAAGAATAGTAAATAGACATATAATAAAATTCTTCCCAGTGACAAGTGTGGGAAGAAGAAGGGAGGGCTAAGAGACAGTGACAGAGCCCCTATCATAAATGGGGTGTGAAAAAAACCCCAAATGATGCTTCAGCTAAGGAATATGAGTAAATTAAAGGACCTAGCATCGTGGTTTTGTAGTAACATTCTAGGCAGACGGAAGCACACGCATAGGCCTCCGAAGAACTGAAGCTTCAGTGAGGCAAGGGGTGGGGGGCGGAGGGAAGGCAGTGAGCAGAGGAGAAAGCTAGGAACCTGAAAGGGTTTGAGCCTGGTGGTGAGAGACCTGGATTGCATTTTTTTATATTTTAGGTATACGAGTGCTCGCTCTATCTGCGTGCACGGACTTCGTGCCAGAAAAGAGCATCAGACCCCACTATAGATAGTTGTGGGAGCTGAACGCAGGTCCTCTGGAAGAGCAGCCGGTGCTCTTAACCACTGAGCCGGCTCTCCAGCCCCTGGATTGCATTTGTAAAGAATCCATCTGGCTGCTGGGTTGAAGCACAGGTATAGGACGGGGCCAGGCTGCAAGGTCAGAGTCTGTAGTGGGCCAGGTGGATGACGACAATGATCTGGACTCTAGAGGGTCCTGACAGGAGAGAGACAAAGAGGCTGAGTTTTGGAAACATCTTGAAGCTCTAATCTAGAGAAAGAATGCTCTGTGTGGATTAAAGCTCATCTGCAAAAACCTTGAGGGAACAAATCATTAGACATTTTGCTTTCATATTATATTCAATATGCCTATATCCTTTTTATCCAAATCTGGTATTTCTATTGCGTCACTAAACTTCTGAAAACCAAGGTCTAAAAGGACTTAGTAACTTTGCATGAGTTAAGTGTTTTAAGGGGTTTTCTTGAAGTAAGAGGGTAAGTGAGAAAAAAAGAAAAAAGCATATTGATATGGGGTGGGGCCGAGAATCTTCCTTGGATTTAGAGCTACCTAACTCTTTCTTGAGGACCGCAGCAACTTCATGGAGAGCAGCGATGCCTTATCTCCACCCTTAGTCCCCAAGGTCAAGCTAATGGTAGCTCTAGACACAGATTTCTTGGGCACCGAGTTTTAGAAAATGTTCATGCCCAGGCTTCATTGCAAACCAGTTCTATGAGCCTCTTCAATGAGCCCTGGCCTTGACTTTCTTTGTTTAATTCACCTTTGAACTCCCCCAAGGTGAGTCCAATGTGCAAACAGGGCTGACAAGCCTGGCTCGTTGCAGACTGCACTTCTCAGATGATTTAAAGGAGTCAGCCCATGCTAAGAAAAAAGATCGTGGTCATTTGTGTAGTTTCTGGGGATCTTCCTGAAAATGGGGTTGATATCCGAGAGATCTTATTTGTACCTGTGCCTTTTAAACTTTCAGATCTTTCTTGCTGTGACCGCTGAGCTGAACTGTGAACTGCTCTCCAAAGAGCAGAGAGCACGCATAGCAGCTGTCTGCCCTGGCGTCAAAAGCATGGAGGGTGATGACGGAATTGCGAAGGTGTGTGGAAGCTTCAGAGATATTGAGAAGATACATCACTTTTTGAGCATGCAGCTTTTGGAAAGTGGGCAGAAACAGAAGTACCCCCCACAAAAATACCCCCCTTCTGATGTGGAGAGAGAGCCACCCAACCAGCAAGACCGGGTCAGAGGCTTTTCCTCTTTGGAACCAAAAGACAAGTTAGAAGATGTTTTTGAGAACTGTTTTGAAGTTTCCGTGCTTCTCCTTGAATATTTCAGACATGCCTGTCCTGGTAGAATACAGTCCATAGAGAAAAAATTTGGGGTAAACATTGAAATCCAAGATAGTGCTCCCGACATGGTCTCTGTACGCTTCACACCCAGACAATCAGACAACTTAAACTTAGAAGCAGCTTGTGAGTCTTTTGTCAAAGACTTTCAGAAATGCACCCAAGCTCTGAAGCAAGATTGTGTCTCTTTAGAGGACCCTCAGAAAGCAAAGGAACTCAGACAGGAGTTGAGTCGCTGCTTTCCAAAGCTCCTGATAAAGGGGCAGGGGGAAACGCTAACTCTCCTCGGCTCTCAAGCTGACATTTCAGCCGCCACAGCAAAAGTCTCCCAAACTTCCCTCAAGACACCTGTGAAAATAATGGCGTCTGGTTACAGGACAGGGATTGAAGTTGATTCGACTCACTTTAAGCTTCTAAAACCTGAATTGCTCCAGGAAATCTCAGAGATAGAGCAGAAGTATAACACCTGCAGCAAAATCCAGGACAAAAGCCAGAAAACCTACATCCTATTTGACACCAAGGATAAGGAGGTTGACCTGTCTGTGCACTCTTATGCAAGTTTCACTGACGCCTTCCAACATGCCACGTGCCAGCTAAGGACAGAAGTCCTGCCGCTGAAACACTTGGGCAAGGGGAAAGCTCACTTCCATAAGACCAAGTTTGTCGACGACTTAAAAAAAAAGCACCCAAGTGTACACTTCGTGATATCTCAAGAGTCAATGGCTTTGATTGGTTTGCCGAATCAGCTTGCGCAGGCAAAGCAGTATGTCTTCAAAAGAGTGGGACTGTCCCCATCATCTGGAGAGAAATTAAATGGGGATCGTGAAACACCCATGGATATCGACAGGGATGACTCACATTCGGCTTTACCTCCTCCCAGAGGCTCTGCCGATAGCTCTGGGGCCTTGAAGGAGAAGAGCGAAGAAGACGACTGTGCCATCTGCATGGAAACCATTAGCAACAAGCATGTGCTCCCTAAGTGCAAGCATGAATTCTGCACCTCCTGTATCACCAAAGCCTTGTCAATCAAGCCTGTCTGTCCTGTGTGTCAGACTTCCTACGGTATCCAGAAAGGGAACCAGCCAGAAGGAGGAACCATGACTTACAGCACGTTAAGACAGTCCCTTCCAGGTTATGACAACTGTGGCACAATTGTGATTCAATATAATATGAAAAGTGGCATCCAAACAGTAAGTGTGCCTGCAGAATGTGAGTTTCTTTTTGCTACGCTAGAATGACCAGCGCCCAAGGGGTCGTCCTGAAGCCTCTTAAATAATGATTTTCCCAGGAAATCATTCTGTGATTGTGGGTAGGGGCATAATAGATAGAGGCAAAGTTCATATTGTTTGCTTACAATTTACATGCTTTTAAAACTAGTTTCACCGTGTTGGGGACTGAACTCAGCATCTTGTGCATACCAAGCAAGCACTCCTGAGCTACACCTTTAGCCTTTCATGTCTTTTTTAAAGGTAAAGATCATATGTTAGGATGGGAGGAGTTGGGTAGCTAGTGTCATTTGAAGAGAACTGTGAATTATTCAGAATATGAGAAAAACAGTATTTTGGGGGGGGGGCTTTCAATAGGCTTCACCTCCAGTGAACACACCTTTAGTATAATAAAATTCAGAGGCATGCCATTTTTTATATAACATTTTCTTTTCTTCATACAGAAGGAGCACCCAAACCCAGGAAACCCTTATCCTGGAACATATCGAACAGCATACTTGCCTGATAATGAAGAGGGAAGAAAGGTCTTGGATCTGCTCCGAGAAGCCTTTCAAAAAAGGCTGATTTTCACAATAGGGTACTCTCGAGCAACAGGAGCCTCGGATGTCATTACATGGAATGACATCCATCACAAAACATCCACATTTGGAGGGCCAGAAAAGTAAGAGCCTTTTGAAATGTAATGGTTGCTGAACAAAGTATAGGGTTGTTAAATGCTGCAGTTTGAGGCTGTGGGTGTGAAAAGACGTTCTAGCAGTAGATGTTAGCCCTGTGTCTTCGGGTTACTGTTGCTCTGATGACCAAAAGCAACTTGGGGAAGAAAGGGTTTATTTGGCTGACATATCCTGAATCAGAGTCACTGAGGGAAGACAAGGCAGGAACTCAAACAGGGCAGGAACCTGAAGGCAGGAACTGATGCAGAGGCCATGGAGGAGTGCTGCTTACTGGCATACTCCCCATGGCTTGCTCAGCCTGCTTTCTTATAGAACCCAGGACCACCAGCCCAGGGGTGGCACCACTGACAATAGGCTGGGTTCTTCCCACATCAATCACTAAATTAAGAAAATTCGCTACAGACATGCCAACAGCCTGATCTTATGGAGGCAATTTCTCTGTGTAACCCTGGCTGTCCTGGAACTCACTTTGTAGATCAGGCCAGCCTACCTCTGTGCTAAGATTAAAATTGTGTGCCACCTCCACCCCAGGAGGAACTTTCTCAATTGAGGTTCCCTCTTCTCTGATGACTCCAACTTGTGTCAAGATGACATAAAATTCTAGACAACGCACGCCGGGCGGTGGTGGCGCACGCCTTTAATCCCAGCACTTGGGAGGCAGAGCCAGGCGGATCTCTGTGAGTTCGAGGCCAGCCTGGGCTACCAAGTGAGTCCCAGGAAAGGCGCAAAGCTACACAGAGAAACCCTGTCTCGAAAAACCAAAAAAAAAAAAAAAAAAAAAAAAAAAAATTCTAGACAACGCACATAGTAAAATACTAATCCATAATGATAATTTCAAAGACAAAAAAATTGGTCCCAGCCAGGCAGTGGTGGTGCATGCCCTTAATCCCAGAATTTGAGAGGCAGAGGCAGGTAGAACTTTGAGATTGAGGTCAACAGAGGGAGTACCAGGACAGCCAGGGATATGTGGAGAAACAGTCTTGAAAACAAGAAATTGGTCCCCCCCAACCTTCTACTCCACCTTTCTATTTTATTTTATTTTATTATTATTATTATTATTATTATTATTATTATTTTGGTTTTTCGAGACAGGGTTTCTCTGTGTAGCTTTGGAGCCTATCCTGGAACTCACTCTGTAGACCAGGCTGGCCTTGAACTCATAGAGATCCACCTGCCTCTACCTTCCAAGTGCTGGGATTAAAGGCATATGCCACCACCCCTGGCCTCTACTCCACCATTCTTAAGGTATGACTTGGTTATTAAATTTTGTATCAAAGCTGGACAGTGGTGGTACATGCCTCAGATCCCCTGAAGTTACAGACAGGTGTTAGCTGCCATGTGGGTGTTGGGAATTGAACCTGGGTCCTCTGGAAAAGCAGCCTGTGCTCTTAACCACTGAGCCATCTCTTCAGCCCTGCTTTGATTTCTTTTAAGGTCATCTTACTCTCCTCCCTCACTCTCGTCTCCCCATCGGTCCACAGAGATGCTGAACTCACACGGCTGATACATGGTAGAAAAAAAAAGTCTTAGTTATAAAGAGTCCCAAGATGGAGGCGGGGAGATGTATTCCAGGAAATCTGAAATCTGATTCTACCTTATAAAACTCCGAATTCCTCTACTCGTGGCATCCAAAAGAAATATGTCCTGAGACCTTTTCAAATCTCTCAATTTGAAAATCCAACTGTCATACGACTACCTTTTCTGTAGACTATGGCATTTATAACTTTACGTGCATCAGTGCTTAGAATAAGCTAAGAATATGAGCAATCTGGCTGAAAAACAGATGCTGGTCGGTCAGCTGGGCACTTAGGTGACTAGATACCGGTCACTGTCTGGATTGCCTGAGGGTGTAGGAACCCAGAATACCAGATGCTAAAATGCAAATTGTACAGATTTTGTTGTTGTTGTTGTTGTTTTGAGACGGGATCTCACTGTGTGGCCCAGACTGGCCTCAAACTCACAGAGATCTGACTGCTGTCACCCTCTGAGTGCTGGGATTAAAGGCCTGTGCCACCATACCCGGCTGTTGTGCAGAGTCTTAAGAATTATTTGGGAAAAAAAAAAAACCTAAAGGGATTCTTTTTTTCTTCATGCAGTTTCGGCTACCCTGACCCTAATTACCTGGAACGTGTCAAGGAGGAGCTGAAGGCAAAAGGAATTGAGTAAGGAAAGCGCTGAGGAGATGTCTGTCCACTTTCCAAAGAAGTGTGTCAGGAGGTCGTGTTAGTACAGGCCTAAGTCTTTTTAGAAAACTATAGCGTTTTTTTTTTGTGTTAAGTAGATGTAGTTTCTATAAAAAGCAGAAGTCTGCTTGCCAGTCATTTCTAGAGTGTTCCTGTTTCATGGAAGGCAAAATATAAAGGGCATGGGCTGGGGAGGTCATCCATAAGGTGTGAAGACATGAGCTCAGATCAGCAGCAGCCATGCAAAAGCTAGTATGATGGCATACGCTTGTAATCTTAGCACTGGTGAGTGGAGACAGGAGGATTCCTAGAGCGTACTGGCCAGCTAGTCTAGCCCAAACCATGAGCTCCAGGTTCACTGAGAGACCTTGTCTCAAGAAATCGGGTGCATGGGAGCATGATGGCACATGCCTTTAATGCCAGTACTCGGAAGGCAGAGACAGGCGATTTCTGTGAGTTCCAAGACAACCTGGTCTACATAGACCAAGTTCCAGGACAGCCAGGGCTACATGGTGAGACCCTGTCTCAAAACAAACAAAATAAATATGAGGTGGACAGAAATAAAGACATCTAACATCACCCTCTGGCCACCATATGCACCTGCACACACGAGTACACATGTGTGTGCTCCACACACACATACGCACATACACACACAGAGAGAAAAGTTTTAGAAAGGAAAAAGATAAGGGATTTCAAATTTTTGCTGAGGAAGTCTGATCTCATTCTTGTGTTATGGTTGGGATGCTGACTAGTATGAAATCATCTTCTGTGTCTTTCACTTGAACCACTGGCAACTAATTGAACCTCTCCAGTTTTTTGTTTTGCTTGAGACAGGGTCTCACTGTGTAGCTCTTGAACTTGCCTTGCAGACCAGATTGGTCTTGAATTTAGATCTGCCTGCATTAGCCTCCTGAGTGCTGGGATTAAAGACATGTGCTACATGCCCGGTTATATTTGTTTGTTTGGGGGTTTTTGTTGTTGCTTTTTGTTTTTGATTGGTTTGGTTTTGGTGTTGGGACTTAAACCCAAGATCAATAAGTTCCATCCCAAGACCTTTGATCCTGTTCCATGGCCATCTCTAGTAGTACATTAGTTGTTTGCTTTTTAATCCCTGCCTGGACAAGTAAAACCCTTGTGTAAATGGGAAATTTAAAAACAGGATTGCCTGGAAAAGACCAACTTCCTTCCCTACCCACAGCAAGAAACGTGTCCAGGAGGTCAGGCAACTTTTGATAATAAATAGAATAAAAAGAGTCTTGTTTTTCAGGATACTGAGCCTAGTAGACAGTTGGTGTTTATGTGTTTGTGGCCTGACTCAGGTGGCTAGTAGCTCAGCAAAGGGATGCGCACATGAAAAGATTTGCTCCTTAAATCACTGGCAAAAGCAGGACTGGGTACCTTGGCATTCATTTGGCAAACAGTTTCTTACTCCAACAGGTATTGGTTAGACTCTGGCCAGGCCTTTGTCATAGGCGCTACTCTTCACCGATCCTTGGAATCTGCCCTAAAGGGTGCCCTTGTCTTGCCACAGAAGTGCAACATGTTTTTCACATTTTACCCCAACGTTATGTTGTACATTTTGAATATGTTCTGTTTCAAATTTTAACAGATAAATAACCGTGCCTTAGCATTTTCTAATAACTGCTACCTGAAATGTAGTAATTTTTTTGTTTTGTTTTTTTTGGGGGGGTTGTTTGTTTTTGTTTTTTGTTTTTCTTTTTTGGTTTTTCAAAGTTTTTTGTTTCTTAATCCTTTGACTGAATCCCACCAATTTGTGTTATCTCTCTCATGGTTTTTTTAGTCCTTTCCCTGGACATGAGTGAAGGAGAGAATTAAACCTACTTTAAAGTCTGTATAGCATGTCACAGTACACTGTAGCGGTCCTCCAAAACAGAAGAAAATCACAGTACACAGTGATCTGGTGATCTGTGTTACAACTGCTCTCCAAAATGGTAGCTGACATGTCTCGAACTTTTCCTTAAGACACACATAAAAACATTTTGGCCAGATAATAATAGCAAGCATTTATTGAGTACTTATTCTGCATGTACTTTACGTGTTGATGTGATCAATACAATTAGTAGCTCTAGTCTTTGAATCGAAAATTGATGTGCAGAGAGCATTAGTCAGTCACCAAAGGTAACAGAATTAATAAGTGGAAGTGCTAACTTTTACCTCAGTCTCGGTTTTTGTTTTGTTTTGTTTTTTGTTTTTGAGACAGGCTCTCATGTAGCCCAAACTGGCCTCTTCCTATGTAGCCAAGGCTGTTATTGAACTCTGACCTTCCTGTCTTACCTCCTACCCAAGTTCTTGCGTATATCCTGGGCTGATCTTTGTTGCTGGTTTTTCTTTTGCTCTTTTACTCTTTGGGGGGGTGCTGTGGGATGTTCTGTATGGCAAATGTGTTGCTGATTAGTCATTAAATAAAACACTGATTGGCCATTGGCTAGGCGGGAAGTGTAGGCGGGACAAGGAGGAGAATAAAGCTGGGAAGTGGAAGGCTGAGTCAGAGAGACACTGCCAGCCGCCATGATGACAAACAGCATGTGAAGATGCCGGTAAGCCACGAGCCATGTGGCAAGGTATAGATTTATAAAAATGGATTAATTTAAGCTGAAAGAACAGTTAGCAAGAAGCCTGCCATGGCCATACAGTTTGAAACCAATACAAGTCTCTGTGTTTACTTGGTCGGGTCTGACGGCTGTGGGACTGGCAGGTGAGAGAGATTTGCCCTGACTGTGGGCCAGGCAGGAAAACTCTAGCTACAGGGGGGCCTATCACCCAGCTCCCAAATAATCACATGGAGATTTATTCTTTGTTATGAGTGCCCAGTCTTAGCTTGGCTTATTTCTAGGCTGCTTTTCTTAAATTACCCAGTCTACCTCTTGCCTCTGGTCTTTTACCTTTTTCGATTTGTGTATATCTTTTCTTTCCTTCTTATTCTGTGTCTGGCTATCTGGCCCCTGACATCCTCCTCTCCTCCTTTTCTCACTCCCTGATCTCTCTTCCCAGATTTCTCCTCCTATTTATTCTCTCTGCCTGGCAACCCCACCTATCCTTTCTCCTGCCTCGCTATTGGCTGCTCAGCTCTTTATTAGACCAATCAGGTGTTTTAGACAGGCAAAGTAACGCAGCTTCTCAGAGTTAAACGAATGCAACATAGAAGAATGCAACACATCTTTGTATCCTTAAACCAATGTTCTCTAGCATAAATGAATGTAACACATCTTCAACAAATATTCCACATCAAATCTCTCAGGATCTGCCTTCCTCAGCCTCCCGAGTGCACAGATGCACCACTATGTCTCACTTCCAGATCCAGCTTAGACCTACTGTTGATGCTTCACCACGTTTTTATCATTAAGACTAACTGATCATTTTCTGTCTTCTAATCTAGTAGTTAAATTTACTCCAAAGAAGCAAAAAAGTTGGTTTCTGTTTAGTTCTGGACCTTGCATTTCATCACATGTGCATAGGCAAATTCCATATGGTGTGAGTGCTTAATGGCGTTTGGATTGCTGCTTTTGCAAGGTGTTATCTTCCTTAAATAAACTAGATCCTTATTTACAACAGATTGTGTGGCTTCCTCATTTCTCATTACTTTTTCCTTAGGTTGGAATTCTGAGTGTTTCCTTTGACACACACGGTATACAGTGGTGTGTGAGCATTTTGGGTTAATTCATAGACTGCACTTTTGATTGCAAAAAATCATATTTCTCAGTATTTTTCCTGTCTCGTGAATACAGGTTGTTATAGAGACAGAAGTAGACCACGAGGACAGTGAGATGGGTCAGAGGGTAAAGGTGCTTGCTGCCAAGTTTAACAACCTGAGTTTGATGCCTGGAACCCACATAGTGGAAGGAGAGGACCAACTCCTGCAAGTTGTCCTCTGACTGCTGCATGCATGGCATGGCACACACCCCCCAACAAATAAAGGATTGTCCCTTTTGTTTCATCCTGATGTGTAGGAGTGTTTTGCTTACCTGTATGTGTGTACACTGCATATAGGCAGTACCTTCAGAGATCAGAAGAGGGTGTCTGGATCTCCTGAAACTGGAGTCACAGACAGTTGAGAGCTATCATGGAAGCTGGGAATGGAACCCAGGCCCTCTGCCAGAGCAACAAGCCCGGAGCCATCGCTCCAGCCCAGTAAATGCTGTTATTCTTTTAAGTAGGCTACAGGTTTCATCTTTTCGAATTATAGAAAGCATATTTAGTCTCCTGTCAAACCTATTGCCCTGTCCTTGCTTACTGAGCACTAGCAGCAGATTGGGGGCACTCTCCTCTGCAAAGGAAAAATAATTTAAAAAATCAAGATAGATAGAAGTTAGGAGAAAAATCAAACTGTTATTTTACTTTCTTATTCTTTTTTTTCTGAGATAGGGTTTCTCTGGAACTTTCTTATTCTTATCTCACTGGTTTGGTGCTGTTGCTGATTTGATCTCTATAAGGGAGTTTATTTAGCATTATTATTATTTGTAGTAGTTAGCAGTAGTAGAAGTAGTAGTTAGCATTGTTATTAGTAGTAGTATTTAGTATTAGTATTCAGTAGTAGTAGTATCTAACATTAATAGTAGCATTTAGCATTTATTACTACTAGTGGGAGTATTTAGCATTATTACTACTAATAATATTTAGCATTAGTAGTAGTATTTAGCATTAGTAGTATTTAACATTATTACTAGTAGTCATATTTAGCATTATTACTACTAGTGGTTGTATTTTGCATTACTATTAGTAGCAGTATTTAGTATTATTGTTAGCAGTATTATTTAGCATTGTTAGTATTATTTAGCATTATTAGTAGGAATTGTAGTAGTATTTAGCATCATTATTAGTAATTGTAGTAGTATTTGGCATTAGTAGTAGTAGTTAAGCATTATTATTAGTATTTCGCATTATTATTTGTAGCAGTAGTATTTAGCACTATTAGTAGTAGTACTTAAGAATTCTTAGTAGTAGTACTTAAGCATTAGTAGTAGTATTTAGCATTGTTATTATTATTAGTAGTAGTACTTAAGCATTATTAGTAGAAGTATTTAGCATTGTTATTAGCAGTAGTAGTACTTAAGCATTAGTAGTAGTAGTAAATTTAGCGTTATTATCATTATTATTAGTAGTAATAGTAGTGTTTAGCACTAGTAGTAGTAATACTAATATGGAGTGGGGACCCCCAGGAAAAGACCACTGACTCAATCAGGATTATAATTAGTTAAACATATTAAAGCTGCTGCTTGCAGGACAGCAATCTCTGAGCAGAACTTGAGATTGCCGCACAAAGTGAGAGTGAGGGAAGAAGGGTCTTTACAGGTGAAAACCACAAGAAGACCTTGAGCGTCTGCACAAGAAAGCCAAGAGCTGTTCTACTCTGCCAAGATTAGGTGGTCAAGGCGACCTCGAAATAGCCTTGAATGTCTGCGTATGTAGGTCACCGAAGTCAAAAAAGCAGTAAGTCATAACATGTAGACAGTAATTGCTGTTCATTTCTGGATAGGAGTCACCGAGTCAGGATTACTAGTAACTTATCTTCCAGGGACTGGAGTCGGAGACAGTGGCTAGTGGGTATCAAGGTGGATGCCTAACATAAAGTGGAGTTTCTTTAGCCATCACAGTGCTAGTGTTTTAATTGATTGGGTCCTGAGGCCTCTGAAACACAGTGACTGGGGCCAAGATGAAGATGCTATTCGCAAGCTCAAGGCAGTGAACATAGAGAGAGACAGCAGCCAAGATAGGAGCATCACACCCCTTCTTGTTACCACCAGCCTGCCACCTCACCAGACCTGGAGGAGACACAGCGGGCCACCTGGCAGCTCTGTTGACTTGGTAGCTGAGCTGGAAAAGAAGGACCCCAGGAGTCAACTTTAAGTGCCTCATTTTCTAGTGGAGGGAGCTTAGATCTATTTCCCAGTAAAACACGAGTCACTGTGAAATACACACTTAT